GCGCGGCGGGCACCCGGGAAGCCGAGCGCAGGCAGCAGGAGACGGTGCAGGCCGCCCTCCAGGTCGGTGAGCCGTATCCTGCCCTGGCTGCACCCTGGTAGGGACCGGGGATGGGGCCACGCACCCCCACCGGCACCGGGTGCTCTCAGGAGGGGCTGGGGGTGGGGGCTCTGCTCAGTACCAGAAATATTGTTCCTTTTTCCTGAATCACACTCAGCTTCAAACAGAGCCAGAGCTTTGGGCAGGACCTTCTGTCTGCAGCCCCCCAGCAGGACCTGAAAGGTGAGAACCATTTTCCTGAAATTGCTGCTAACCCGTACCCTGCTCAAAATGCCGGACCATGCCACAGCAGCGGTCTTCCTCGCTTGCTGCTGCTGCTGCCAGAGTGGACACTGTCATCACTAGGATCTTGCCTTCATTCAGATCCTTCGCAAACTTTCCTCTAGACTATAGTAAGCACCATATCCGCAGAAAGATTACTCTCCTGTCCACACTTCCGTAGGTAAGCACTACCAGCCATAAGGAGCGAGCACAGTGATAACGTGCAAGTGTTTAACATTATCGTGCCCCCGAGAACATTTCTCCTTTTCCTTCTGACTGCAAAGCTCTCCAAACACAAATACAAATTCTGCTCCAGAAACCTCTGGACAATTCTTGCCTGCCCGGCTTTGGCAGTCACTCACCTCTCAGATGGCTGCCTCTTGGCTCCTGTATTCCAGGGACTCCTCTCACGATGCAGAGCAGCCTGGCCCGAGTGGGATGCAGCCAGGACCTGACTTAAACTGGGTGGAATCAGGCCAGGCTTTGACCTTCATTGGCCACCAGGTAGGGCTGACATGCTAATGAGCATGACTTAAGTAACTGCAAGTTACATATAGCATGTGTTCCAGAGCAAAACAAGGGGTCGCAGTCTCTGTCGCTGAAAAAGGCAGCTTTGCAGATTCAGACGACCAACTAGCTGAGAGTTTCAGTCCTCCAGTGTTGACCTGTGTTTCATGAAGCAAACGTTCTTTAACGTGCACAGAAAACCCAAACGCTCCTTAGAACTTGATACTGGAAGGGAATGCACATAATGCCATTCTGTTTAGAGAGATTCTTAAAAGCATCAGTTTCTCATTGGTGTTTTATGTTTCTGTTAACAGGAAACAGAAGGGAAAGGAAACGTTCACACAGGTAATCATGCCTGCTTCGTGACTCATTTGGTTGCTACTGAAAACTCTTGGCTTGCAAATATAACAGGGATAACTGAAAGCAATTTTGAAGCAGTTACAGCGTAACTGGGAGGTGCTCGCTCTTTTGCTAACATTTGACATACTAGAGAAGAAAACACTTCCGTATTATGAAAACTGTTGGTGCTACTGCTGTGTGGAGTGTATGGTTTGGGGTGTGACCTGCCACGGCCTTAACGGAGGCAAGCCAGCTTCTTTTTCTTACAAAGCCCCAAGTTTACTTTTCCTTCGCCACTTACTTGGCAGGGCGAGCTGCAGGGACAGGGGGTAGAGGGGATGCTTTTCCCTATCTTGAGCTTAGGATAACTTCAGTGGCTAAATACATTTTCCCCGTGATTCTAGGAGCAAAACCTCCATGGCTAACAGAGGAAGAGGATGGAAGTAAACAACAAATTGGACCTTCGTATGAGGAATTTCTCAAACAAAGTGAGTAGGTTGTATACATGTCAGTTAACCTTACGTTCACTTTACCGCACTAAAGAATCAAAAGCTATTTGAATGAAAAACTTTTGCTTAACAAAATCTATTTTTAGAGGAGAAGCAGAAGCTGAAAAAGCTCCCAGCGGAGCGTGTGGGTGCCAACTTTGACCATACCTCTCAGACAGGCGACAGCTGGCTCCCTTCCTTCGGGCGAGTTTGGAATCATGGCAGGAGGTGGCAGTCCAGGTAAGCTTCAGGGCAGCATGGACTGATGCCGAGCAGAGGGTGTGCAGCTTCCTTCCATGCAAGCTACTCACAGAGCGGGCTTTGCGGTAGCAGCAAGCGTAAGGAGACGTCTTACCACCGCACGAACGCGTTATGCCACACAGTGCTCAATCCAGGCAGAGCGCCGCTCTTGTCCTGGAGCAGTGCACGCGTGACTTGCGAGTTGAAGCACGGTTGCGACTGCAGAGGCCGCGCACGCAAAGGTGCCCGCCTTGTTGAGCTTGGCTCACCTTTCAGACCCGCGTACTGGTGCATATACGCACATTTGTCCCGCTGGTGCCTTGTAATACACTAGAAATCTGTGTCAGCTAGCTGAAGAGACTGCTACAGCTCACTGAGATAACTGAAAAAAAAATCATTGAGTGAGCTTCCGATCTAAAACACTATGCATAGCACTATCTTACTTGTTAGGTGAGGCAGCGTTCATTACCTCCCTCTAAGGGCTGTTGCATTCTGACTTCTACGCTCTCTTTCAGGCATCAGTTTAGAACTGAATCGGGGGAAAAGAAGAAAAAAAGGTGATCAGAAGAGGAGCGCCGCAGAAACCAAGCTGTGACCGTTGTGGAAGGGTGGACTGTAGGTAGCTGCAGCTTTGCTGGTGCCGCTGCCACCGCCAAGTTTAGCGCTCTTACTTAATGCATACATCCAGATGTGTTCACCCCTGGAAGGCAGGATGACCAGAGCATAATACTGAGTTGAGCACTGTTATTGAAAGCTCCTCTGCCAGGGGGTGTCGCAGCAGATCCACTTCCCCTGTAACGGACACACAGCGTGTATCTGAGCATCGATTTCTGAAGTCTTAAGCAACACGAAGGCAGATCCTGCCAACAAGGAAGGTCTCCTGCCTATGCTGTTATCTTCACAATCAGAAAGCCTACCTTGTACAGCGTGTGCTGCCCGTGTCCTACACTGATGTGTAGCATGGCATCCCGTTAAAGAAATTTTTGAGAAATACTTTTTTTTTTTTTAACCTGTGTTGGTAGACCAACTGAAACTTGCTTCAGGTGCAGGGCCTGCTCTGGGGGCAACTGATGACTTGCTCCTGATATTTTCATTCTAATTTATATTACTTTCACTCGTTCTGCCTCACCTAAAGGACGACTGATTAGTCCTCAGTAGAAGAAAGGAGGCCTTAAAGACCTTTGCTGTGGGCAGCTGTTACTTTTAATTTAAATAAAATACATACAGCCTTATTTAGAGCTGCTTATCTATGCTTCCCCACTAGATGCTGACCTGATAGATGCTGTTGCCTTGTACACAGAGAGATCTGTGGGCACGGCTTGGTTAGAGGGAGTTTAAATAATGAAAATATCCCACTAGCACCTTCCCTACCTACAATGCAAGAAACAGGCTTCAATTTTCCTCCTACTAGAACCAAATATGGTTTAACGTCGCTGGCTGGCTGCTGTAGGCGATGCCCAAGTTCCTTCCATTTTCGCAATACAAAAGCGTGTTCACGGTACATTCGTAACACTGTATAAATGCAAAAACTCGCTGCTAGAGGAAGATGGCCGTGGCCTGGACCAGAATCCACTATCACTAATGCGTCAATAATGAAACGTACACGTTCTTGAAAAAGCAAGAAAAATTATTTCAATCATTTTATTGCGTGCATCTACATATGACACATTGTTGACGAGGTCGCTGGAGAACCTGGAAAGCAAGAAGTCCCAAATCAGACAATCGGGTCAAAACGAGCTAGCACAAAGGAAACTGTCCGAAAGCTCGGCTCCAACAAGAACGCTTGGACACAGTGCCTTCCGACAGCAGGGAGGACACATGCCCGCGTACCCTGCAGCCCAGAGAGACGGGAGAGCACACACAGCTTTCCCCATCCGATGCGCAAAAGGGACAAAATCGCAAATTGCTCTTTAATTCTGGAGAACCGATATTTCCAGTAACGCCACCCAGGAAGTCGCTCAGGAGTGCGAGCGACGTCCTCTGAACGTCTGGAGGAACGGCCCATCCAAAGCAACACGGGAGTTGTCTGTTACATGGTGTGTAGCCATTTACTAGCCCTGACAAAGCACAACCCAGCTCCTTCACAGAGCCCGCCGTCTCACCTCCCTACGCGTCCTCCCCTGCGGCAGGCGCATCTCCACCTTTTGTGTTTCTAGTGTAGATCACTTGGGCTCGGTGCTTGGACACCAGTTTGATCAAGCCTATGAAAAACAGAAATTATTTGAGTGCGCGCGTACTGGAGGACGCTGTGGACGCTGTGCTCCCTTCTAAAGCAGCAGACTGGGCAACGTGCAATAAGAAACACCAGGGTACCCAATACCACGCACACTTATACAAGGCTTTTGTTCAGGTCTGGCAGCCGTTATGTCACAACCCATCCTTCTGGCAGAATTTTCTTAGTATAGCAATGCCACTGAATGCAGCAGAGCCGCTGCTCCTTACTTCGGAGCACTTCTGAAATGCAAGCTAAGGCAGCAGCTCATCAAAAACACGCCAATTTGCGTACTTCAGATGCAGCACGAAATCTTCTAGGTGAGCAAGGAAAAGAAAACATCCAATTCAAGCTGCTTTCTGATCTTCCACAGCTTTGAGCGCTTACCTTTGCTGAGCAGCTCCTGGAGGGCAGCCCTAGCCAGGGAGCCTCGAATCTTCAGTCTCTCCGAGACAACTGCAGGTGTGATGAGCTTGTAGTTGGGCACTTCTTTGCACAGTTTGTCATAGGTGGCCTTGTCAAACAAGACAAGGTTGTTCAACTTGTCTCTCACTTTCCCCTTGGACCACTTCTACTTGGAGAGAGAAAAAAAACCCTAAGCCATCTTCTAAGCAATAACAAAAGACAGGGCTTTAGGGTACCCTAAGAACTGCACCATCAAACGCCTTTATCTCACATCCCAGATGAAAGGGCTGACGAGATGCACAAAATCGTCTTTGTAAATGTACACAGTGCAGAAAATACCTACAGTATCTCCAAACAAAAGGAGTAAACCCTCCTGTTACGCAGATTTAACACCATCACCTGCAACTTACTGCCAGACGGCGAAACAGCTCCTCTGACAACGTGATGGCACCCATGCCACCACAGTGCCAGAAGCACCCAGCCACCCACGTGGAAGGCCTGGGGAACCCCAACAGTCTCCTCCGAGCTACCAGGCTCCCGTGCCCCTTTGCTGTGCTCAGCCCAGCGTATGAGCCCGGCTGCCCCCCTCCCTCCCCCCCGGTTTGCACGGCAGGCTCCGGGAGAGCCGCGGGCGCGTCTCGGGGCCCGCCGCCAGCGGGGCCGCCTCCGCAGGC